CAGGAGATAAGGGAGAGCGCGGAGACCCCGCTGAGGGAACCAGAGGTAGACCCGGAAGACCCGGTGCTGATGGATATGAAGGCAATGTTTTAAATATTTTGATATTTGAAAAAATATTCAATAATTTTTTTGAATTCATTAGGACTTCGAGGAGACAGAGGAGAGCCGGGAGATGGAGGTCTTCCCGGACTCTATGGGCTTAAGGTATAAACGAATTGACGACAACTTATGTTAAATTAATTTATGTTTATTTTTAGGGTGAAAAAGGAAATGAAGGAATTCATGGTTTAACGGGTATTCCTGGAAAACAGGGACTATCGGGACAGCCGGGCCGACCCGGACACGACGGATTGCCAGGTTTTCCGGGTATTTGTTTTACAAATAAGTTACGCAACAATTTATTTGACAATTTCTATGCATTCATTGCAGGCGTTAAGGGAGACAGAAGTGAACCACATCTGGAAGGAGTGAGGGGTCAAAGAGGAACACCGGGAAGACCGGGAATCCCTGGATTACCAGGTTTTCAATTTAAATATTGCTTCAAAAAATTATCAACAATTTAATTAAACACTTTAGGAATCAAAGGAGACGATGGGTTCGCCGGTTGGCCGGGAAGAGATGGTCTCCCGGGACCTAAAGGACCTCCCGGTGTGTCTGGTATTCAAGGTTTGCCGGGTTTGAGCGGTCGGTCCAGTGCTAAGGGCGCTAAAGGAGAGCGCGGAGATCAAGGCTTAAGAGGTTGTATTCAATATTATGACCGCTTTTTGTTAATTTTGAAATGTATTGCAAGGAATCGATGGCTATGAGGGTTCGCCAGGTCTGGTAGGACTTCCCGGATCTAAGGGTCAGTTTTAGCAAATCTTAATTAAATAACTTCATTGACGTGTAATTTAAAACGTGAATTGAAGGACAAATGGGAGAAATAGGAATCGCATTATTAGCACAACCCGGTTATGACGGAGAACTGGGACAAAAAGGTAATCCCGGTCTCCCCGGCCTTCCGGGTCTGAAAGGCCTGATGGGAGAGATGGGAATACCAGGACTTTCGGGTGAAACGGGTGAAAGTGGTGACAATGGTTTGCACGGAATCAATGGATTGGACGGTCGGCCCGGGTTTAGAGGAGATAATGGATTGACTGGTTTACCCGGTATTACATTTAACTGGAAAGATGTTTGCAATCATTAATCACTTATTGCATTACAATTAGGTTTCGTTGGTATGAGAGGAGAGACAGGTTTTGTAGGTTTGCCGGGACTGTCGGGAGGCAAAGGCGACCCCGGCTTTTA